GGATTGCAGTGAAGGGAAAGTTAAAGGATGGGTCAACTTCAGGGTTTGAATCTTTAAGGAATTTAATAAGAAACTCAGGGTGTTTTTTTGTCATTATTTTTAATAGATAGGTGAAACTTTGCTTTGGGGGCTTGTAGTTTGAGTTGTCGGTATTGGCTTTCTCTTTCATAGAAGGGATAGGTTGGCCAGGGGTAAATTCTTGGAGGAAGGGTTTGATAAAGTTAAATAAGTCTTGTACAAGTTGTGTGTTTAGTTTTGTATTTGGTTTCATACTCTCTGTAATTGGATATTGTTTAAACCAGTCTAAGTTTTTAGAAGTATCTCAGAGAGGATATTTTTTATCTGTTTGATTGGATTGTTGGTTTATATTAATATTTTCTTGAAAAGATGAAGATTCTTGTTAAGATTGTTGTTGTTGTTGTTGTTGTTGTTGTTGTTGTTGTTGTTGTTGCTGTTGCTGTTGTTGTTGATTTGTATTAATTATTGTTTGAGGTAATGAGGATTCTTGTTGTTGCTGTTTTTGTTTAGGAGACAGGAGTTTAAGGGCACTTTCAAGAAAGATTTTTTTAAGTTTTTTTGAGAAGTATTTAAACATATAAATGAGGAGTACTGCTCGTTGCTCAGGAGTCATAGGTTTGGTTTGTGAGAGGGGTTTACATTTGATATAAATAATATAAGGTTTGCAATCATTGTGGATAAGCCTTCCTCTGAAAATAGAGCTATTTTCAGTATTTGGACAGATTGTGCAGTAGTGTGTATGTTGAGAATGAGAAATAATTTCAAGATTTAGATTTGGTTGCAGAGAGAAATTGGGAAAAGAAATTTTAGGAGTGATTTGAGGAGTAGGTGATTCAGGAAGTTCTTCAGAAATTTTATTGAATCTGTTTTTTGAAATGGTTAGAGAGATTTCCATAGCTAGAGCAGGTTGTTGTTAAGGTGGAGGAGTAATTTTAAAAAATTTCGAAGTGAAGTTTGCATGATATTTTCTACAGATACAGGTTTTAAGTGCAGGTTGTGCAGATAAAAGAAAGAAGTGATAATTCTTGTTATTTTTAACTTCACAGTTTTTGGGATTGATATTAGCAAAAAGGATGCGGAGAGATTGTGGTTTGTCTTCTGTCATTCCAAAACCAAAATGACCTTGGTATTTAAAATATCAGTGGTCGAGATCAAAGGAGTCAGGTTGAGTATCAATAAGGGTTGGCATATTATAATATATTTGTACTATATATTAAAAAGAGAAAATTTATTTTAAATTTAGCAAATTATTGAAAAAATTTATTTAAAAAAGAGGTTTTGTAATAATAGATCATGTCTGTTAATTAGAAAATTATAATTCGGCTTATGAAGGGCTTTTGGTAGAATAAAAATTTATTTCGTATAATGTTAAGCAAAAAGTCAAATTTGAGTAGTACAAAGTCACATATTACACACGTTACGTGTCAAGTCACGTGTCAGGCCAGGTACTGTGTTGCACAAATTAGGCAAATTTGTGAGACAAAGGTACTGTAGTCTGTGTAAATTAATAAATTACAAAAAGAGTAAGTATTTGTTTTGTGTAATTTGGATTAATAATTTGTGTGTAATTGATTTGTAATTTGATTGTTTGAGAAGAACCACTAATTTTAAAGTATTGGAAAATGTGGGTGATACAATTTTGGGCTGGGATAGGTTGTACGAAAAACGCCTATAGGGTTTTTGCAAAAAAGAAAAAAAGAGGAAAAAGAAAAGAAAAGGTAGGGAGTTGTAAGAGTAATTTAGTTATATTTTGTCAATTTTGATGCTACAGATATGAGCTATAGCTTTTATAACAGGAAAAATGATCTCTTGAGCTTTTTCTATACTTGGAGAATAGATTATGAAGGTAGTTTTGCTATAAATTACAGTTTTGTAATTTGAAGACTGGAAGGTCTTTCTTTTGATGGTTTTAAGTGCTAGCAGTTTAGAACTTTAATATTATATATTTTTATAAGCAGAATTTATTTATTTAAGAACAAAAGTAAGGTTTACTTAATAAAAATAAAAGTTATTTAA